CTGGCTGATCTTGGTTGGGAAGTGCATATATTACTTAGTGCTGCATTTACAACAATGGGCCCTTTATCATTTGCTGTTTTCTTTTAAAACAGTAATTGGTTATAGTGTGTTTCGCAAAGCAAACTCGGAGAAGAATGCTTTCAGAAGGAACCCCACTGATCCCAAGCTTTCTCGTAAGTGTGACATCGATTTATCTGTGCTTGTTTGCTGACGGCAGATTTATTTATTTATTTTTATCTTTAACTATTGTGTCCTTGCTTCCTAGACGTGCGAACTATACCCACTGCGACAGGAAAGAGTCTCCTTGTGTCGGGCTTGTGGGGCTTGGTCCGACACCCAAACTATCTGGGTGACATCATCATGGCTTCGGCATGGTCGCTCCCCTGCGGTGAGTGCTGGCTGTTTTTCAGTGTGTTCACACAATGGCCGTTATGGGGCTACATCTTCACTTCAAGTAACAAGTATCAAGAAAGAAAAGAGTTTAAACCTACAAAGTTTGACATTGATGCAGAAATATGACTGTTCTGGCAGTCATACATCAGAAGACATACCCAAAATGTATACGCTACAGATGACCACAAAGTAAATTAGAAACAGAGGAACCAGTAACATGAACAATTTGCCATGTGTATGTGTTCTCATGTATATTAAGTCAAATTCAGATTCCAATAATGATGTATAATTGAAATTGAGCAAGAACCATAATGTTTATAATGTTTTCTTGCATGCTGACTTGTTTCTGTAGGATTCACCCACATTTTACCCTACTTCTACGTGATTTACTTCATCTGTTTGCTGATTCACCGTGAGGCACGGGACGAAAAGCAGTGCAGGAAAAAGTATGGGTCAGCGTGGGACGAGTATTGCCGACAAGTTCGGTACCGCATCATTCCTGGTGTATATTGAGGCTAGGGGTACCCCAGCATGCACTGTCATTTGCGGCTTAACTTTTCATTTGAAATTTTACACAAGACCCTAGGGAAAAAAAATCTAATTGTTTTTAATTTAATGAGGAAAAACTGAATGAGTTGAGTAGGACTATTTTTAGAGTAAATTTTAAGTGAAGTCTGATGTTGGGAGGGGAAAAAAATATTTTTTATTGGTGTAGTTTGGATTTTTTGCCTTTTGCACAAAAGTTTACAAATTTTGTGGGGCAGCCAACACCAGCAAATCCACATTATGTATATTTGTGTACATACGTTTTTGAGAAGTTTAGCAACATTACACAAGTCTTTTTTTTCTAAATTCCAAAAAGTGTTTTTTGCTTGGCTTTAAGTGTTCTTGTAAATATACCTAATGGTATATTGCTTGTGTAAATTATATTTTACGAGAGAAATGCTTTTTTGTACAGAATAGTAGGAATTCTCAGGACCATTATTTTGTGAAGGAAAACGAAGGTTTGTCTTGTGTATATTTTTTATAGAGATGTAATTTTAAAAGGGCATGAATAATTGAAATGAATTGGCATTAAGTGCACTGTGGAATAGACCCCTACCCCTGTCCACACCAATTTGGCTCTGCTACCCCCAGTTTCCTACAGTGTGTCCTCCACAGACAGAAAGTCTCTTCAGGGTTTACTAATGGACAGCCTGTTTCTGTCATATTTCACATTTACCAGGGGAGTTAGCTGGCCAATCCTTAAGTCACCTCAAGTCACTTTAAATATACTGGTATTTTTTTTATTAGGTTCTCTAAAAGTTTTCACAGTTTTTTAAATGACTTTGATTTATAAAGGTAGCATTTAAAAAAAATGGATACTGTTATAATGCGCAATGACATATACCCAAGTTTTTCTTTTAAACCCTGTGGTATTTTCTTACTTGCCAAATTGTATTTAATGCCACTTTAGGGGCAAAGTTTAGCAGTACTTAGACGATGGGATGTCATGTGACTGATTGTATCGTGCACGCCTTTCCATCATGTGACTTATTAATAACTAGCTTTAGGCAATCTTATCCATAACCGTAGGTAACGTTGCATGTAATTTCAGTTTCTCTTTTTAAGCCTGAATTGTCACTGTAGCCTTTGGCACTTACAACTAGACCAGTCTGTGTACAAAACTGGATCTTTTGTGTTCATCCCCTGGTTTCAGTGGAGATTCCATATCAGTTTTTTTCTTGTTTATAATATATTTGGAATCATTAAACTTAATTTTTTAAATATGTGTTCAGTAGTTGTTATTACAAGCCTTCTAAGCCTAGAACTGAAACGGACTCCTAAATGGTAGAAACACAGCAACATACAAAAATTCTCAGCATTTGTTATTAAATATTCATATGTAGTTGGATTTAGCTTCAAAATTAATTAAAACAGATCTAAATGAATAAATTTTCCTTTCTATGCTACACATACACAGTATACTGTTCATATTTTATGGCCAATGTGTATATACAGATGCTCCTCTACTTAAGAACTTTGAACTTATGAACTTAGTCCTCTTCGTTCATATGTCTGAAAGTCCAAGTTTCTCCCGTTTCCTGTCCGCAACATCCATTTTTTTTTCTGTGCGCCAATCCCGCCTAGTACGACTTCTGGCTGCTAATCCCGCCGCACAGCAGCGTAGCGTGCGTACTACCAGCATCCTAGTTCTTTGTACTTGTGTATACTCTTAAACTGATGTTGAATAACAACTTACGAACATTTCAAGTTACGAACGGCCGTTTGGAACATATCTCGTTCGTAAGTGGAGGAGCGTCTGTACATTTAAAATCTGTGCTTAGTTTGTATTTTTTTTTTACTGCTAAAAACCTCCATGTACAAAGCATGATTTAGTATTAAGTCTACACTTGAAAGCTTAAACATTCCCAACATCCATTAGCTATGTATCTAAGAATGGTTCTTTAGAGAACTATCAAATAAATGCAACCTGTACACACATTGTGAAACACTAATTTTAATATCACGCTATGTAGCAGATATTTGCCTGCTGGAAGCTCCTTATGTGCTTGGGAGAGGTTGAGTTGCCTTAAATGTTTGTCTTCTACTGACTAAAATTACCTAGGAATATCAGTTCTAAATCTGTATTTGTATTACAGTAAAAAGTCTGAAGACATTGTCTTTGTGGGATGTGCTTTTTTCATTCACTCTTCATACAAGTACTGTAACAGTCAAATGCACCAGTTCACAATTTAATGAAATAAGCTATTTGGCAACTCGGTCCCATTGGACCTTAAGTAGCTTACCATTACCTCACCAATGTTATAGACCTGTCTTATATGGTACTGGAAATCATGTATCAAAGCTGGGGCTCTACTGCCGCAGGACAACCTAGTGGAATATGACCTTTAGCAGGGTGATACGAAGTAAGAAAATAGTGTGTAACAAAGTCCTATAATCTAACTTTCACCGAAGTCACCATGTGCTTGGAATAGCTTTGTGCTCAAGATAGCCTGCTTAGTTTTTCCAGAAGAAACCTCACATCTGTATCATTCGGTGCGACTTGTGAGATGTCATACTGGTGTACAGCCAACCAAACAGCACATTTCACACGTTTTATAGTTTTAATATGATGTAATAAATCAGTAAAAAGAATTCTATATGATTAATGAGCATCTGGAAAGGAGAAGCGGCACCTGGTTTTTGAGAATAGTTTTGTCATTGGCATCTTTCTGGTTAGTGAATAGTAACTGAAAATTTACCTGTACCGTTCACAGGATGTTAATTTCAAGTCAAGCAATTATTCAGTAAACGGATGCTCACAGAACACCCCCCCCCCCCATTTAAGGTGTGCAGTCTATCTAATATAGTGTCAAAAGAAAATGACTAACTTTAAAAGTTTCTCCAGCCTTTTTATTTAAAAGTCACCCTGTTTTACAGGAAAGAAATGAACCCATATCTTGGCACAAAACTAGCCCAAAACCTGACTATCTTCTACGAAAAATGTGTTTGTAGTGAATTACCACTAGGTGTCACTAGTTAGCTGTAACTCAGGAATGTACCAAGGAATAAAGAGAATGCGCAGTCAAGTAAAACGCTCACTGGATATTGTAATAAACATTATAAGACCAGCAAGCTTACACGAGACTATTGCTGGCTGGATTGAATCCAGAACCCGTTATGTTCGCCATCATTGATTGGCTGCTCAGAAAGGTGTCCAAAATCTTTTAAGGAGCTTCGTATAAGATAGCAGGTTCTGCCTTTTAAAGAAACAACACTATCTCTAGAGGTACGACCCAGATGTGAGTTCTGCCAGTGTGCCATACAAGGTGCCCAGGCGTGTGGAGATACCCCGCTACCGCAGCGTCGCATCAGTACTCCGTCAATGAGAGAATGCGCCGTTAAACGCTTTGGCGTCCGCGTGGCGGGAGGCTGTGGATTATGCAGTCATATCATTGAAGTGAGCATCATTAGAGGCCCAACAGCTGTCTGCCAAAACCAAGCATGCTACCCCCCCCCACGATCAGATCCCCCAGCCGACAATGAGCCTCTTCAGATCGAAAACAGCACGCGGTAATGAATGCATCTGGGAAATTACTACTTGGGATTTTCAAATCACTTTACTTGCCCTGCTGAATGTGTGTTTGGTAAATGGATGCTTCCAAAGTGAGCATATTAACGTCAGAAGAATATGCCAACTCCTGAAACACAGTCTCAGAGAGCAGACTTGGACACCCCCGGCTCTGGAGCTCTGTGCATACGGTGCTACCCCCAGAGTCACAGTGTTACTCTGCTAATTTCAGTACCATATAAAACACAGTTTTAAAACTGGATTTAACATCATAAAGAGTCAATCTGGACAAACTAAATGTTTCCCTTTTGTCACATATGCTTGTATGATTTTCCAAAGGAAGCATATGAGGCCTACTGGGTTCATTAGGGATCAATGGCATAATCACAGTCCTTCAGAGTCCGGATAGGAGACGCATCTTTTGAAAGTCCAGATGGCACCTGGATCGTGGTGCTATTGGCCAGAGTACGAGACCCTTTCATGTTCATCACATGGTAGCATGTTGTGAAAGCCGGAATGCTTTCATTGTCAGTGTTGAGGGAGGTGTGCCAGTTGCACTGTCCACACGACCTCTCGCTTGTCTGTCTCCTGAGTAGACCAGTCATGTCATGGCCCTGGTATGGCACTTGGCAAAGGCGCTGTATTCCCTAGGCGTGCCCGCCCTTTGGCTGGCCATCCTGGTTCATTCAGGCTCACAAGGGGTTGCAAAAAGCTGAACGGGCTATGTGAGGAACTGCCTGCTTTCTCTAACACTTATAGCAGCTTGTGAGTGAATTCCGGTATTCCCGAGTTCCTCAAGGAGCTGACGTGAACCCGCAAATATCACCCACCTTCAAGGTAAGAGATCATTTAATATCTGCAAATTTCTTTGTTTGGAATTCTTTAGAAATGAATACGTGAGAAGCTTAAAACACAGAATTTCTGGGGTACAAATATACCTACTGCTATGGAAAATAATGAGTGTATATGAGTCTTTGCACAGACCTGTGAACTGCGTAGCATATGGTCATCGACTGAACTGCAAATGATCAATCCGGGAATGCAGGATGCGTCTCACGGCTGGCAGTACCACGCAGTTTGCAGGCTGGCTGGCACTCTGCACGCTCGTTCTGCTGGGCTCCTGCGACGGCTGTCCCGTTGTGTGTCACTGCACCCGCAAAGCCAGTGCCAAGCGGTCGGTGGTCAGCTGCCATAAGAGGGGTCTGACCACGTTCCCCAGTCGCCTGCCCCGGGACACCTGGATCATTAAAATGGGTGAGAGTGTCAATAGTAGCTCATCACACAGTAGGATGGATGAGAGGACAGTGATTAAGGGTCTCTTGCCCGTTTGACTCCTAGGACGAGCATGTGGTGCTGCTCCTTAACAAAGAGCTTAACTTGATCAGCTTCTGTAGAACACATACAACAAGCTGTGCCTTTTGATTCGGATGAGAAGGTCTGCAAATAAACCAAATAAAATATAACTTCATAGCTATATTGGTTCTATGGAAAATATGGTAACGCTTATTCATTTAACTCCTGTATCTGTGCAGAGTCAAAATCCTTCACCACACCAACAGTGTTTGTTAATTGGTTCTGCCTGCCGCACAGTAGAATGAGTGCAATCCATTAACAATCTGCCGTATTTGCTTCGCTAAACACATTTTCTTGTTTTTTCTTTGTTTAAAAGGTGAAAATATTTTGCAAGACCTCCCAGCAAATGTCTTGAAACCATTTCCAAAGATTGAAAGCATCAATTTGGAGCGCAACTCCATCAAATCCATTCATCCACAAGCCTTCACTGGAGGCAGGAAGCTGATCTTGCTTAACTTGTATGGGAATAAAATCAACAAGCTTCCCATGAAGGGATTCCAGGACCTCCTGAATCTACGCTTTCTGATGCTTGGGCAGAACCAAATTTCCACCATCAGACCAGAAATGTTTTCAGGCATGAAGAACCTGTCAGACCTGGACATGCCGGCAAATGCCCTCACAGCCCTGCCGGCCAATGGCTTCAAGCCCCTTGTGGCCCTCAAGGTTCTGGACCTCACCCTGAACCAGATACACAAGCTGTCACCCAAGTCGTTCGTCGGCCTACAGCAGCTGCTCTTCTTGAACCTGGACAGTAACCGCTTGAAGACCATCCCTCACGGGGTTTTCCAGCCTCTGGAAGCACTGCAGACGTTGGTGCTAGATAACAACTTGCTACGTACCATAAGTGTCTCTGCGCTGGACGGCTTGTCCACCCTGAAGGAGCTGTACCTGAGGAACAATGAGATTGAGATGTTACCGGGCAGCCTCTTCAGACAAACCCCACAGCTCTCCCAGCTGGCCTTGAGTGGGAATCGGCTGGTGGCTTTAGATGTTGCATTGCTGGCCGAACTGCCAGGTAAGAGTTGGTTCCAGCTAACTTATGCAGTCTTGTTTATCCAGCTCCTTTAAAACAAAAAACAGATGCTGTCACACTTATGCACTCAATTTATTTACTGGCATAATCTGAGCATTTGGTGCAAGCCTACAGTAGTTTGCCACTTATTGCAGGTCTTGGTCTTGGTTAAATAAGTCCAGATCCACATCCACTTTAGAGCGGTTCATATTATAATGTAGAGGAAGCTGGTGCACCGATTCCAATTCCAGTTCACTGGTGTGGATTGTGGCTCACCGCCTTGCTTTCTGCATTCGTCTCCGCAGAGCTCAGAGAGGCATACCTGCATGGCAACCCGTGGCACTGTGACTGTGGCATCGCAGCCTTGGTGCACTGGATCTCGCGGGGCCGCGCCAGTGGGGCGCCAACGGGGGCCCCAAAATGTGCAGCCCCTGCGGCTCTCAGGGGCCGGGCCCTCAGCAGACTGCCTGCAGATGCCCTGAAGTGCAGGGCTTGAGGTGGGTGGGGGTGCAGTTGCAGAAAGGACGAGAGAACGTGGGGAGAGAGTATGGGAGGGGGCCCAAACATGCTGGAAGTCCATGTTATTTCAAAGCTTATACCCAGTGTAACCTTTAGGGATATAAATACTGGTACATGCACATCTATGGCACAGGGTCATAGAATTAAATAGCTGCACATGATACACAAATAATTGAGCCCCCCCATGCTTTCTCTCTCTCTCTCTCTCTCTCTCTCTCTCTCTCTCTTCTCTCTCATGCATGCATGCACGCACGCACATGCATACGCACACACACACTTACACAATCAGAACCTAGTGTGTTGCAACTAAGCAACCACCCTGAAAAGAAAAATGCATGCATGCCCTGTAATGACCGCCAATAGCGGACAATAGGCAGATCCCACCCATAGATAGGCACTTCATTTATAAGCAGAACCCAGTGAAGACTTTTGGCCTGCACAGTGCTCCAGTGAAACTTAAATGGAAATAAAATGAAGGCGTGGTCTACGTCTGCCAGCTGAAACAATAACACCCTACAAGTCCTCAAAACACAATAGCGCTGATGTGACAGCACCGCCGGCACCTTGTCACAAGATAATGGTCAGAATGTCTGCCTGGCAGCTTTAAACCTCTCATTATGGAGGCACCCAAAACCCTCACCGCCCTAACTCTCCCGCTGAAGTCAGGCTACACTGTAATGCAGCGTTATATTCAGCTGCACATGCTATAAACCCACCTTGGGTACCTGTGTCGTATGCAGATGGGTCGCTACACATCTTATTTCACAGGTGTTGATGCAAAACTGCAGCCAAATAATTCTGTCGAATAAACTTTAATAGCAGACATTGTATGTTGGTCAAAATCACTTGTAAAGCAGAGTAAATGGGAATGACAGTATGGAAAGTTTTATGCTTTCAATCGCAATGCAAATAATTTAGTCCGAAGCACCATAACATTGGTCCTGCATGGAGAATTTGAAAAACATGCTGTTATTACCCACATGCAAAGCTTTTATTTAATAAAAACAAGAAATGCATTAATAATAACTTCCTTGAATCTCTTACGCTGAAGTTGTTTTGACAGAGTGTCCTGCTGTTTAGGCCTGTTGGGGAGAAAATTGGAGAATAGGAAGTGGAAAAGAAACATTTTCATATTTTTAAAGTTGAATGATGAAATAGCTTATTACTTGAAATGTGTACTGGATAGCATTTGCTACAAAGCTTTAGCACTCATTAAGTACCATGGGGACAGACAAATCGATACATTAAACAGAGATAAACACCGTGTTTTAATTAACAGTCCAACAGTCTGAAAGGCAGACCCATTCTCTGCAGCAAGACATTAAATATGTAATATGAACAAGTTTCAAGATCCCTGCAGTTCTGGGCAGAAAGTAGGTTAAGACTCTTCATCTCATCCTTAACTGTCGGTTTGCTTCCAAAAAGGAAGAATTCCTCACTGAATTGCTACCAGCTGAATGAATGTCAACAGAACTCATCACTCAATATCCAAATTCCATGCTGGGTCCTGAATCAGCCCCAGGCTTAATATATATATATTATCCCTATGATTCATCCCTATGCAATGCAACAATAGTGTTTACGGATGATTCTTTTTTAATGACAAAAAACAAACCTTAGCCATATACTCCTAAGCAGTGTGAGATGTTAAGTTGTTTGCTCAATATAAGAACAAATGCAGTGGAGAGCGGTTGTAGTCTGACACAGGACAGCTCATTGGAAAGACAAGAGTCACTTTGAATACGCAATGACAGAAGGTTCTGTACATTCGTACAGGGAAAAAGAAATAGCTATGTGAGGATATCTCCGTAAAGAACAACAACATGTCACAGTTTGCCGCCTGGTATGTTTCTGAGGGAAAAAAAACTTCATTGTTTACCTTCTGTTGCTCTTTCTAAAGCAAAAAAACTTGGAGCAGAGGTAACCAAGTTCTCAGTTCCCAAAAGACTCCAGGGCCAGGAATTCCTGCCACTCCAGAACAGCGTGTCAGGAGAAGGTCCACAGCTCAATACAACCATGAAGGACCTTCCAAGAAATTAACATATGAGGTGATAAGAGAGGCTGGTGGAGTGGGCAGCCTGCATCAGAATTTCTACTTTGTTGGCGACGTCATCATATCTGTTCATCTACTTCACTGAGCCAAGCTTCATCTGTCCAATGGCAGGGAACCTAGTTCCTTGACTTCTAGTCTGCCTGCTGCTTGTATGATTTCCTGTCATTGCTACTGATGCAACACTCACGTCACATTGGAATCTCCGCACTTACAATACAGTGTTTTCCAGAGCGTCCCATAAACCGGCAACACGAAAAACACATAAGATGTGATGTTATTTTATGTATGTTCACTCTACCAGTTCTTCCCGAAATGATGCTTCTGTATCTATGTTATAAATATGTAGTACTAAATTTGGGGTATTTTGGCCCGTTGACAATCCTTTAGTATTCTTGGGTTTGCGTCCTCAAACCCAAAACCAACAGGATTCCAGGGTTATTCAAAACTTTATTGACCTCCATGCAGGACTCCTCCCAGAACTGCCAAAACTTAAACGTATATCACACCCCTGCTCAGCATTTCAAAATAAAAGTCTGTTTCAAAATGAAAGCCTGAAAGACTCATGTTACAAATATATACACAGGAAAGACAGCGACAAGAAGATCTCGTGGTGTTTTTGCCTTACCTTCCCCTTGTTGTCAAAGCCTTGAAGGAAGATTCAGTGCCACCTGTGGTATAAGACGGCAGGCCAGGCCAGTTTTATCCAAAAGCATGAAAGACTCACAAACCCACAAACACAGCTGAAAAGCGGTTGGCAGCAGTTCAAAGCATCACTCCCACACCTTATCTCTGCCATTACCTGCTTGGGGTGAGGGGGGTGTCACCAAACCGTTATTGTGTATTCAAATCCAAGGGTAAACGTTCTTACCTTTGCAATAAGTGGCGTCCAAATAGCGTACCGAGCCGCCTAACACTGTCGGGAAATCCGTATTTATTGAATTCTTAATGCCTCGGACCCAAAGCCATTTACGAGTTTTACCGTTTTACCGATTTACGCCGCTGTATGTTATGAGAAGCTCGACATGGTATGTATAATCATTCAGCTTCTTAAGAGACACTTTAATTCACAATGTGTTTGATAAAAGTATCCAGCTGTTTTTGCTAGCGGTGCTACCTGCTGAACCACGAACACAGGATAAAGACACGCGTTGGGATATTTGTTCAGTGAGACATTACTTCAGTGGTGCAGCAGAAGTGAGCTGGAGAGGGTCGACATCGCCCTTACCTGGTACAGGCAGTAAGCACAAGTAACACTATGGTAGTACAGGCAGTAACACTATGTTTGCGGAATGGCCCTCTGGATTGGACAAACACACCAGACACATCCCCTACCCTTTTAGCCATCGTCTAGCTGGTGTATAACTTCTGGGAAGGCTTTCTACAAGATTCTGGAATGTGTCTGTGGGAATTTTTGGCCATTCATCCAGAAGAGCATTTGTGAGGTCAGGCACTGATGTTGGATGTGAAGTCCTGGCTTGCAATCTCTAAGAACATAAGAAATTTACAAACGAGAGGAGGCCATTCGGCCCATCAAGCTCGTTTGGGGAGAACTTAACTAATAGCTCAGAGTTGTTAAAATCTTATCTAGCTCTGATTTAAAGGAACCCATGGTTTTAGCTTCCACTACACTAGCAGGAAGACTATTCCATACTCTAACTACACGCTGTGTAAAGAAGTGCTTCCTCAAATTTATTTTAAAATGTTCTCTCTCTGTTTTAGTTCATCCCAAAGGTGTTCGATGGGGTTGAGGTCAGGGGTCTGTATGGACCAGTCAAGTTCTTCCACACCAAACTCAGACAACCATGTCTTTATGGATCTTGCTTTGTGCACCAGGGCACAGTCATGCTGGAACAGAAAAGGGCCTTCCCCAAACTGTTGGAAGCATAGGAGAGGTCCAAAATGTCTTGGTATGCATAGACGTCCCTGTGGGTGTAATAGCCAGGTGCCCCAGTACTTTTGTCCATATATCCATGTTCAATATTTATTGAACCAGTAGAGTTAGTTTTTTACTTATGGCTGCTATAAGAAAAACTTCAACCTTTAATCCACTTCCTTAAGCATTACGCCCCCTGTAGTCTCTATAAAAAATATACACTCCAGTATTGTTTTGCAGAAAGATATTTCTTTTCGGCGTTTTTCCATCCACATACTCTAACCCACCTAACCAATTGCACCAAAAAAGAGGTTTATATCAAATACAAAGGTGAAGATTACAGCATGTCTGACAGATAGTTCAGTTATTTAAAACTATTTTGGAAGATTTGGGAGATATGCCAGGAATCTGAAGACTGATGATGTGGGTGTAGTTTAAGGAGCTGACACAGTGTCGGAGGCGTTTTTTTTTTTTAAATAAAGTTTTCTGTTCAGGTGACAGAATAAACAAAAAACCACAGCAGAAGGCTGCCTTTAAAAAGAACAGAACAGAAAAGTAATACCTCCTCTCCTGACTGGGAATCCAATTAGGCCGGAGACTCACACAGGAAGCCTTGCAGTGTTGCTGCATCAGAATCACCAAGGTAAGAATTTGGTGGGCGTCACACTTTCAAAATGAGGGATGATCAGGACTTCTGCAGACACCCTGCCATAATATCCCTACCCCTATTCATTGCTTTTTAATGCATGGTTTAATTCCGCTACAAAAAATGACATTAAATCTTGAAACATCCCTACAGGGTTCAATTTGATAGCCAACAAACACACATGCAAAATCCGCAGGCTTTATTAAGTTCGTTGATGAAACACTGGCTAGGAGGTTTGATGGGAGCACACCCTCCAGAGAAATTGCTTGCGTAATCTTGACAGAGCCACCCTGCTTCACATTTTCTTCTCACTGGTAAGTCATCCCTTCATTCAGTTAAATTCTCGCAGCAAAAATTCAGAATTAGACTTGTAAAGTAGGGACACCTTCCCCCATGCAGTTCTAAGTCTGTGTTATCCCCTGAGCTCATACCTACATGCCCTACAGTTTTCTGCAGCAGAAAAAGAGTATTTCCTCAGGGTGTGGGAAAACTGGTGTATCATGTCACCTAGTAAGCTATGAAGATTGACAAAGCAAGGAAGGGCGTTGTTCTTGTACAGCCTTTGGGGGGGAAATTCATTTATATTCAATTATATTCCATCTTCTGTCTGAAAACTGCATATAGATTGAAACCGATCTAAAACAGACTAAAGAGTGAGGGCATTAATCATTAAACCAAGGTACTGGAATGCATGTGTCTCACAGAACACTGAGGGCCAGTTCATACTAATAGCATGGTGCACTGTGTTGTGGTTTCTGTTTGCATTATTTAAAAATGGCTGCCTTTCCACTTCTTCACGTATCTTGATTTCCTTGACCCTACCGAACGGAGCCATGTGAGTGGAAGAATTACTGAAACGATCCCATAATGTCAGAAGTGGCCGTATCGGTGGCTGATGACGACATTAATAATCGAATGACCCAGTGTCTCATAAAGAAGATTAAAAATTAACAGTACATAAGAGAATGCTAATGGGGTCGCAGGGCTCAAAATAAAACCGCAGAAAAGGAACACGTACTGTATGTGGCCAGGGAATTCATCAGAACACAATAATAATAATAATAATAATAATAACAAGAACAACAACAAAATATTAACCCTTTGAGTGATTTAAAAATATGTTTTACATTTATTACTTCGTAATATTATTAGTCTTTGCAAAACGGTTGCCACTTAATTGTGTCTCCCAATCATTTGCTTAAAATGTTTTATACTAATTCTAAAAACATCTATCCATTTTTCATAACTGCTTATCCAGTGCAGGTTTACAGTGAACCTGTCCCAAGCAGGAAATACCCTGGTTGGGATGCCAGTCCATTGCATAACACGCGTTCACATACGACAGTTGATTTAAACACCTGTTCTCCTTATTGGCATTTCTTTGGACCATGGAAATGAACCAGAATACTTGGAGGAACCCTGCACAGAGGGAGAACATGCTAAATGCATAGGCACACAAAGTCAGGGTCTGAGTGGAACCCCCAAACCCGTGCGACGCATAGAACCATTGGCAGAGATGCAGAGTGATCTGACTCGTTGGTGCGATGTTCACGTCACACAGCAACTCTCAGGATACCATCGCAAAATGGTGATTGTCTGGTAAGATGACCTAAACCTCTCATAGTCACAGAACATGCAGATGGGTCTGAATTCCACGAATCCAGGCTGGCTTAATGTAGGAAAATTCCCCATTAATGTGGCCTGTCCTTCAGATACCCCCATGAAAGGGGCACCAGGGGCAGAAGTCCGGTCTATGAAAAGGTTGTAGAAGTTTTCTCGTACTTCAAATGAACCATACCTCCATTTCGTGGTCCAGAAAACGATTGTAAAACAAAATCAAATGCGATTTAAATGTGAAACCATATATGTTCTGTAACTGGAAGTGTGTCTCCTGGGTCAATAATATACAAAACTAGATTTGGTGTGTTTTGATTTTTTTATCAATGAGTGACCACACGCAGATCGTCCGTGTCTATTTTAGAGACACCTGAGTGCTGTTTCCATTCCAGGCCTGTGACATTGTGATGTATGGGGGTGGGGTATGGCTCTGGGGGTCGGGATCCTGCGGCTGTGATCCTAAGATTGGCAGAGTGATTTTCCTGTAGGGTAAGACCCCTAACCCCCAGTCTCTCCAGGGACTGTTTGGCCCTACTTTCTCAAGCGTCTTCTAAATAAATTAAAAATGTAAAATAAAGTATGTTGATTTTACGGACTCGTGTTGCGTCACCTCGATATCAGTCTCCCCGGGCAGATTTGCAAAGGAAGACGGTCCAAGCTCTCCGTGGAGCAGCGCGTCAGCGGTAGCGGAGATGTGCGACACGAGAAAGAACGTTGCCCGGAGCAGAGGAATTGTCCTATTTGGCCAGCGTGAGAGGCAGCCTAAGCTTACAGTTTCCCCGGATGTTCATTTAGGCTGGAGCTGGCACTCTGACTCACAATGACGGGCGTGTGGCAGAAGTGTGATAGGAAAGC